TTCTGTTGTGATGTCCGACTTTTCATTTCTGATTTAGTTTTGTAGGGCTCTCTCTCTCTCTCTCTCTCTCTCTCTCTCTCTCTCTCTCTGTTTCTTTGTGAGTCTTGCTAGTGGTTTATGATCTTGTATATTTCCTAAAAGAACCAGCTCTTGCATCTATTGATCTTTTGGATTTTTTTTTTTTTGGATTTCAGCTCATTGAATTGTGCTTTCAATTTTTATTATCTCCTTCCTTTTGCCTGGCTTGGGCTCCTTTTGTTGGTCATTTTCTAAGATTTTAAGCTATAAGATTAAGTTTTCTTTATGTAGGCCCTTTATTTCTTCCTGATGAATGTTTGCAGAACTATAAAGTTGCATCTTAACACTGGTATTGCTGTGTCCCACAGATTCTAGAAGCTTGTGTCCTCATTCTGTTTTGTTTCCAGGAATCCTTTGATTTCCTCTTTAATCCGTTGGTTGGTCAGTAGAGAGCAGTTTGATTTCCAAATGTTTGATTTGATTCTCCATTTCTGTGTGTGATTCACTTCTATTTTCAGTGCATCACGGTCTGAAAATATAGTTGATACAGTTTTTATCCTCTTAATTGTATGGAGGTATGTTTTGTGGATTAGCATGTGATCTATCTCAGAGAATGCCCCATGTGCAGTGAAGAAGAATGTGTATTCTGCTTTTGGAATACATAATGCATTATATATATATATTAACCCTTTCTCTTCCATTTCTTCCCTAAAAGTATTTCATTGCTGAGTCTGGATGATTTATTGAGAGGTGACAAAATGGTGTTGAAATCTTCAACTACTATTGTGTTGCTATCAATCTCTTTCTTCAAGTCTATTAGTAGTTGTTTTAAGTATTTTACTAGACCCTCAGTAGATTCATATACATTGAGTGATTACTTTCTGATGTATAGATCCTTTGCTCATTAATAAATGACCTTCACTGTCTATTATAAACTTCTTCAGCCTGAAGTCTATGTGGTCCTATACTACTATGGCCACTTTACTTTTTTTGAGGAGGAGGTTGGTTTGGAGAATTGTTTTCCAACCTTTGCCGTGTGTTTGCTCTGGCTATTCATGTGTGTTTCTTGCAGGTAGCAGAGTGTTGCGTTAAATTTTCTGATCCATCCTGCCACTCTGTTTCTCTTAATTGGTGTGTTTAGCCCATTGACATTGAGATTATTGTCATGGGGTTATGGCCCATCTTTCTGCAGGAGTTTGTTGTGTTTAAGGGGCTTGTCTTGTCTTAGAGTAGTCATTCAGTCCTTTTTGTAACCATGGTTTTGAGTCTATGGAATTTCTGAGTTGTTTATCTGGAAGTTGTGTATTGTTCATTCACATATAAATAAGATTCTAACTGGGTAAAATATTTTTGGTGAGGTGTTCATTTCATTTAGGTATTTTACTGTATCCTATTCAGGCCCAGAAGGTTTCATCTGATATGTGTTGCAAATCTTAAGGATGTTCATTTGTAAGTAATTTCCTTCTTTGATATTGCTGCTTTCAGTAGTCTCTCAAGGGTTGTCATCATTCTGTTTAGGATGTGTCTGAGTATTTTTTTTTAATTTCTTTTAGCTGGTACCCATCGGGCCTCCTGGATATGGGTGCATGCACTCTTCAGCTCTGTGAACATTTCAGCAATGATGGCTTTGACAGTTGCTTCTTCATCAGAGTTTTCTTCCTGTCCCTTGGTACCCCAGTGATTCTTATGTTGTTCTTCTTAAATTCATCTAAATATTCTCTGTCATCAGTTGGTTTATTTTGAGGCTCTTTTCCATTTTCTGTTGGTCTCTGGAGATTCTCTGCACCTCATCTTGGAGCTCACTGATTCTGTCCTTAGGATCTATTACTCTGCTATCGAGGCCTTCCAGTTTTTCATTTCACCTACCAGGATTTTCAGATCTGTCATTTCTGTTTTTTTTTTCATTTGTATTTTCCTTATTTCTATTCTCATATCCTCTCGTATTTTATTGGCAGTGAGTTCCATTGTTTCTTTGAGCTCCCCGTGTATCCTTAACAGCTCCATTCTATATTCCTTGTAGGGTACTTTATATAGTCATTATTATGGTTTGGGTCATTTGGGCTAGCATCTTCACTCATTAAGCCTGTTGGGTTTCTGCATTGCTTTACCATTGTGACCTTTGCAGTTTGGATTCTGTGCTCATAGTTGCTTCTTTCTTTGGGGTAGGGGGGTGGTGTTGATTGGAGTAGGGGCTAATAGCCTATTGGTCTAAGATAATTGGGGTGGTCAAGCTGCACTATTGAGCTCTGGATAAGAGACTAATTTGTGGCTCTAATGAGATATGAAGGGGGCCCGCCTCTCAGAGACCATGACTCCTGGTTTTATAACCTGAAATATTTGAAAATTACAGCCTGTATATTTTATCGGTAATTCTGTGCTACTGTCATCTTTGGGCTTCTTCCTTCTTCTTAATTCTTAGAGAATACAACTGAAAATATAACTGTATCCAAAGAGGCAGAGATTTTCCAACAACTCTAATTTACCTATTAGTCAGTATTTCTTATAAGTGAATATTTGGCCATTTTCTAGATACTGTCCCAACTCCTGATTGTAGCGAGAAAGTTTAAAAGTGCCAAAATGATGTGCTTTCTCCATCGATAGTTCCCTTTCACACATGCTAAATAAACTGGTTATCATTAGGCTTTAATTTTTTTTGCTCTTCTCAACAGGGATAGAATCATATCTAATTACATTGTATTTTTCCAATTACTTAAATCAAGCATATTACATATTCATTGATGCTATGGAATTTCTTTTCTTAAATTGATTATTCTAACACTATTTTTCACAGTTTTCTTATTGATTATTAAAAAGTTTACATGTACAAACTGCTGTTGTGTTACTCATGGTATGTGTGTTTGTAAAATAGATAATAATGGCAGCTTATATATACAAGAAAATGAGATCGTATTACCTAGAAGTTTAAGTTTAAGCTTAGAGGATTTACATTTTTAGTTAAGAAAAGCATTCACATAAAGATGCAAAATATATAGGAGAGTTTACATGCACAGAGGTCAATTTCAATTGTATAGATTATTATTTAGTCATGTAAAACAGTTTATTCCTAACATAATGAATAGCCAAAATTGTAATACTTTCTTTGATTTATGTTTGCAGCAATATAACTCAATGTTCCCCAAATGCCTTTTATATTAAAGCGGTTCAAAAACCCAACTGAAAAATTTAAATGGTACAGAGAACCAGTCATAGTAATTCACTCATAGAAGGAAATAAACTTTTTTGAATGCTTTTGTTTTGATTATTTCTATTGAAATTCTATTGAAAGAATTGTTATTTTCTTTTCTTTTAACCTTCCTTATTTTTATAATAACATTTGACTTTTCTAGTTAAATACATTTTTATAGAAATATTTTATCTTGAATATTCTGATCCTAAAGAGTAATTTGCAGAGCTTTTCAAATTAGAGATCAAAGTAGATATTATATTACCAACGGAGGATAAAAATGAGGATAAAGACGAATCAGATATGGAAAACTCAGAAACGGAAACAGATGGATGATTTTCATTTTTGTTGTCCTTGTAAAGAAATTGAGTTGTGCTTTTGGCTTTTGTTTGCCATATGAATTGATTATTACAAGATAAGAGCTAAGAAAATTGAATTATAACTTTTGAGAATTCGTGAATCAGCATTCTGAGTAGACAGTAATATTTTAGACATTCCACTGAATTTACTTTCCACAAACTTCTAATGTGTATGAAGGTGAGGTTTTTCGTTTGCTTTGTTTTTTGATGGGGTAGTTGCAGCCATACCTCAGGGCTTACTCTTGTCTCTGTACTCAAGGGCTTACTCTGTACTCAAGGCTTACTCTTGTCTCTGTACTCAAGGGCTTACTCTGTACTTAAGGGCTTACTCAGGGCTTACTCTTGTCTCTGTACTCAAGGATTCCTCTTGGCTGAGCTCAGGAGACCACAGGGGGTTCCAGGTGTTGTCCCCCGTTGGTTGTGTGCAAAGAAGCACTCTATCCTCTCTACTAATCTCTGTCCCTTGCAGGTTTCATTGTTCTAATAAAGAAGTACCAGCATATTAGAAAGTTATCCATGAAGCTGTCACATCAAGGTGGTCCTGATAAAAGTGAAAAAATGTCAAAATCGTTTCTGAATTCATTGATTTCCTGGAGGCCTAGACTTTCTGTTGAAGTGTCTTAAGACTTCCATTATCTTCCACAAGCCTTCTCCACAGCCACCTCACCCACCCCTGCTCCTGCAGTGTCTCAAGTTTTGCATTCCTTATGACAATGTGATGGATTAGTTCATTTAATTCATGCTTTACTCTGAAGTGATATAGGTTAAGATCTTCTACTTGTCAACTATGATTTTAGCATCTGATGTGAGTTATTTATGAGATTTTCTGAGGGTCAGATGATATTTATATCCTTAAGTATTTTTGTCACTATATATTTAAGTAAAAAGATTTTATATAGATGCATAGCATCACAAAAATTTTGTTTTGAAATAATTTATGATTTATTTTAAAAATAGTTGATTTTATAGGCTATATATCCAGCCAGGCACACATGAAATTTTTCTGGATGAAAAGAGGTTGAAAATGTTAAAAGTTTAAGATTTGTTACACACAATCAAGTTTAGAAGTAAGAAAACTTGATCAAGTTTTCAAAGCTAGCGATTAGCAGAAATCAAAATTAACTCTGATTAGTATAGTATAGAACCAGTTCTAGTGCATACTATACTACAAGGCTTACAACTTGGGAAGTTATCTTCCTTGAGAAGATAAAAAAAACTGACTCTTGAATACTATATCACTCGTAGGGTAATTGTGTATTTTTCTCACTGAAAGAAAATTGAAATGTACAAAACCCACTAGAATAGGTGGACTTTATAATTGAATTTCTAGTTCTACTGAACTTTTGCAATGTCCAGTTTCTTGTCTCCTTGCTCAAGAAATATAACCAGGAAACACATAAGATTTTCTAATCTACTGATTTTCTCTTTATTTAACCCAGTGATGCCACGCTTTGCTGAACAAGTAGAGGTTGCCATTGAAGCCCTGAGTGCCAATGTCCCTCAGCCATTCGAAGAGAATGAATTCATTGATGCTTCTCGCCTTGTGTATGATGGTGTTCGGGACATCAGAAAGGCTGTGCTGATGATCAGGGTATGTAAGTCCTCTGTAATTTGGAGCTAATCACAACTTTCAGTCCACAAGGAATTTACTCTGTGTTGGGGGGAGGGGGTGTGAAATTACTTAGCTTAACTTACTAACCTGTGATTCCTCAGTCAAACAAAAGGGACTTTTAAATTATAAAGTGATTGGTGATGCAGTGAGCTATATAGCAATGCTCTACCTTCTTAAATGCATTGTTGCCTAAATTTGATACTGGTATAGGGGGTATCTTTGCTGTTCTCAATGTTCTCATTTTACTAGCATGATTTTTGCAATAGTGAAGAATTCATGCTTAGTCTCCTTATAACATACAATACAGTAAAAACAAGGTTACCTGGTCTTCAACAGTTTCCTCTTTATCATTTACTATATATTTCCAGTTTTCAGTGTTCAATTGTGAGGTAGATGTGAAATTTACAAATCATTGGAAGACTCTAAGAAGTTTTGTTTTGAAAAAGTATACATGGTATATCTGTAAAAAATATTATACAAAATTTTAAATAGCACTGCAGATAGGGCGTTTGACTTGCATGCAGCCGACCTGGGTTCGATTCCTCCATCCCTCTTGGAGAGCCCAGCAAGCTACGGAGAGTATCCGCCCACACAGCAGAGCCTGGAAAGCTACCTGTGATGTATTCGATATGCCAAAACAGTAACAAAAAGTCCCACAATGGAGATGTTACTGGTGCCTGCTCAAGTAAATCGATGAACAACCGGAGGACAGTGCTACAGTGCTGCAGTACTACTAAAAAATTATATTAGATTTTAAAATGTATATGTTTTATTTGCATCTTGCATTGTTCAACCACAACCACAACCACAATCTGTTATTAATCTTTACTAAGACAAGTAGATTTACCCCATCCCATTGTACTGTTCTATAATATTCTATTTGGTGGTAGTAAAGCCAGAGTTCTTTGACATATCAAAACCAAAAATTTAGCGCTGTTGTTATCATGTCTCCTAAACTATAATATAACGTAAACTATAACAAAATGAAATAAAGTGTCCTCATGAAGAAAATTTTCCTCAAATAATTTCAGTGGCACAGACACATTTATGGACCTTAATATTGAGATGGTACAGAGACTTTTACAGAACTAATCCTAAAATCAGGTTATTCAAAAGAAAATATGTGAGCATGCATTTAACTTATTTTTCTAGTGGATGTATTTTATTTATTTATTTTATTTTTAATTTCTTTATTGAATCACCGTGGGAAAGGTTACAAAGCTTTCAGGTTTAGGTCTCAGTCATGCAAATATCAAACACATTTCCCTTTACCAATACTTATTTTTTCCCATGAAGAACCCCAATAAAACCCCACCCCCCACCCCTCCCCGTCCCTGTGAGGCAGATGAATTCTAGTTAACACTCTATCCGCTTTGATTAGATTGTTTCAATAAAAGATTCACCACTATTATTTAGAGTTTACCCCCCCCCCAAATCAGACATGCTGAAAAAGCATTGTGAAGTGATTTGCTTTCTATAGCTGGGTTCGAGAACCAAATGTTGGCTTTGGATTTCTGCTATTTTACTTATTTACCCTGGAAGTATTTCTACTGAAAGTCAGATAGTTAAGAAATTGGTCTCTGTGCACTGGAGACGTGGCCGTGCTGGAGAGCCGCTAGTGGGGGGCAACTGGTGGCCTCGGTAGGGCGTGAAGGGCGGACCGAAACGCCCCCCTTCCCATGAGGTTCCAGTCGCCCCCAGTACCCCGGCTCATACCTACTGTCCACAAGGCTCCCATGCGGCGGCCATCTTTCTTTCCAGAGAGGAGAAGGCGACTGGGGCAACACCCTTTCCCCTGTGGATAGACCTGATGGCCTGGATTAACGCATAGTCCATTCACTTTTCTGCTCCAAGCTGCCGGGTTCTGCATTAAGTCCTTGTGCTTCTGGGGCCGTGGCAGTGCTAGAGAGCTGCTTGCGGGGGGCAACTGGTGACCTCGGTAGGGCGTGAAGGACGGACCGGAACGCCCCCCTTCCCATGAGGTTTTAGTCGCCCCCACATCCCCGGCTCATACCTGCTGTCCACAAGGCTCCCATGTGGCCGCCATCTTTCTTTCCAGAGGGAGGAGGGTGTAAGGGACCAACACCCTTTCCCCTCCGGGCAGACATGATGGCCTGGATTAACGCATAGTCCTTTCACTTTTCTGCTCCAAGCTGCTGGGTTCTGCATTAAGTCCTTGTGCTTCTGGGGCTGTGGCCGTGCTGGAGAGCCGCTCATGGGGGGGCAACTGGTGACCTCGGTAGGGCGTGAAGGGCGGACCGGAACGCCCCCCTTCCCATGAGGTTTTAGTCGTCCCCACATCCCCGGCTCATACCTGCTGTCCACAAGGCTCCCATGCGGCCGCCATCCTTCTTTCCAGAGAAGAGAGGGCGAATGGAGCAACACCCTTTCCCCTCTGGCAGACTTGATGGCCTGGATTAATGCATAGTCCTTTCACTTTTCTGCTCCAAGCTGCTGGGTTTTGCATTAAGTCCTTGTGCTTCTGGGGCCGTGGCCGTGCTGGAGAACCGCTCGTGGGGGGCAACTGGTGACCTCGGTAGGGCGTGAAGGATGGACCGGAACGCCCCCCTTCCCATGAGGTTTTAGTTGCCCCCACAGCCCCGGCTCATACCTGCTGTCCACAAGGCTCCCATGTGGCCGCCATCTTTCTTTCCAGAGGGAGGAGGGTGGAAGGGACCAACACCCTTTCCCCTCTGGGCAGACATGATGGCCTGGATTAACGCATAGTCCATTCACTTTTCTGCTCCAAGCTGCTGGGTTCTGCATTAAGTCCTTGTGCTTCTGGGGCCGTGGCCGTGCTGGAGAGCCGCTCGCGGGGGGCAACTGGTGACCTCGGTAGGGCGTGAAGGACAGACCAGAACGCCCCCCTTCCCATGAGGTTTTAGTCGCCCCCACTAGTGGATGTATTTTAAAAAGATAAAAATTTAATATATTTAACCCAAGTACCAGAAAGTTTTTATTTCAATGCGTGGTTCTAATTGCATTTAAAATAGCTCCACAAACTAATGTTCACCCCATTAGATAATATAGACATAGAGTCTGTCTTCAACCTCAGTCTTCATAGTTGCCTCCGAAGTTGTTTAAATGAGACTATGAGTAACTTGCTGACAGAAGTTTGAAAAATGATTTCTAAAAGTGATCATCAAGCATCTAGTTTAAACCAATGAAACTGTTCTCCTCTCAAATATACAAAACAGTGAAAAATCAATTTATTAATTTCTTTGCATGGTTCCTAATGTAGCTCAAGAAGTATCTATGATATATTATTCTCCGTAGACAATGCTTCCTTGATACTTCAAAAAATTCATACATGGTATTTATCCCTTAAAACCTTGTATTTTTAAATTATTAAATAATTTACAACACAGAATACAACACAATACCCTTAATATAGTCTAGTATCTATGCTACAGCATTACCAGGTCTCTCTCTCTCTCTGTCTCTCTATTTGGGTACACACCTGGTGGTGCTCAGGGGTTATTCCTGACTCTACACTGAGAAATTACTCCTAGCAGGCTTGGAGGACCATATAGGGTACCAAGGATTGAATCCTAGTTGACTGCATGCAAGGCAAATGCCATATCAACTGTACTACCATTCTCTTTGATGGTATCCATATTTCTCCTGAAACATTATGATCTCTCTTTGATACCCATATTTTTCCTGAAACATTAATAAATCAAATTATTTTTCTTGTAGGTACAGATAACATCTTCTGCTTTTTAAGTTTGCATGTTTTTATATCAAGTGTTTTTGTTTCATAAGTTGTGTTAGACAATGCTAATTTATTTAACAAAGTAACTTGAAACTGGAATTTAGGTATTCTTAGCTAAATTTTATGTTCATCAAACTTGTTCATTTTAGAACTATTAAACTCTTGACAGATTTTTTTCAAGACCTGGCTCAAATCTTACTCACAATTCTCCTTCAGAAATCCTGAACTTATCCTTTAAGTACCTTTAACTGTTTGCAATAGCATCCCATCATTTCCTTTAATGTCTGTTGCCTTCCTTAGACTGTGAAACTTTGGAATATAAATGCTGCATCTGGACTCTCTCCACTGAGGTACATTGTCTGACAGAGTGGTTAATGCTTTTTGAAGGGCAGGTCAGCAGGAAAAAAAGCACATAGGGAGAAGGATGACAGATCACAAAGCTATGAAAAGTGGAGAAGCGAAGGAAATACACTCAATGTGTAACAAATTAGATCATCTTTTCCCATTTCAAACTTACTTGTGAATAAGGTAATAGACCATGAGACTTATGTTTCCAAGGCGTTTGGCACTAAATCCAACTATAGTCCTGAAGACATATTCCCTTTTTTGCCATTTTTCTGCTTTGTTGGCCTTTATATTTTCGAGACAACCATCTATCTGGGAGACTGAGGAAGTTTATAGCCATCATTCATTTACTCATTCATAAGCTTTAAAAACATAATTTTAGATAAAATGCCATCACTTTGTTACATAATGTCATTCCTCTTTCTTGACATTTCACATGATTTGATCAGATGAATTTCATATCATTTAAAATTTACGAAGAGATAGATTATAAATTGTTATTTTTAAAATACTCAGTCCATACATAAATGGATTCATTTTGTATTCAGATAATTGCTTGGTTTGCTTTCTGAGTAATTTGATTAATTCTATTTAAAAATAACCCATTGCTGTAAGTCAGGAAGAAAGGCAAAAATTAGCAGATCTATTTCTTTCCCAGAAAATCTATCATGATTCCCTTCCTCCCAAAGTGCTTATATTTTAGAAAAGTTAAGGCAGTTGTTTTTCCAAAACCTAAATGCAGAGGGGCTGGAGATTGTACAGTGGGTATGGTGCGAGCCTTACATTTGGTTGACACTGATTTCAGCCCTGGTACTCTGTGTGCTCTCTGGAGCCCTACCAAGAGTGAACCCTGAGTGCAGAGCCTGGTGTAAGTCCTGAGCAGAGCTGAGTGTGGCTTCATAAACAAATCAAAGAAAAC